TTGTCTTTTTTAAATATAGAATAAGTTTTCTATTTTCTTTCTGTATAATTTGTCATATTTACTCTAAATTCCGTGTTAAAAATGTTTTAATGAGGTAATTTTAGTAACTTAATTCAAAAATGTATTATTGAATTAATGTATTTTTTTAAATAAATACAACTAATTAAATCTCATTAAATTATTTTATTTTAACTGTAGTATTTTAGGTTAAGTTAGATTAAGCTGCTCTTATGATAATCTAAATGTCATCTAAAATAATTGTTTGTACTTTCTTCTAATATATTGTTTTCATGTAACAGTAACAAATTATTTATAATAGTCTGTAATCAAAACTCCCTACCTTCACCACAAGCATGCTTATAGAAGATTGGTATTAAATCTAAATGAGAATCGTATATTATGTGTTGAATCCTTGAATTTATAATATTGCATTGTATTTACATAGTTGAATTATAATTATTATTATAATTTTGTTCCAAAAATATTTCACATTTCTACGTATTTTTAGAGAAACCATGCAAGTAAAATATTGATAAAATCTCAATATTAAAACTAAACGTGAATATTCCGACTAATTTTCTTAATCACACATGTTGAACTTAGTAAAATTAGTATTATAAGGTAATTTATAATAAAAAATTGTATCCAGTGAAATATGCGTTGTAATAAAATTAATAACGAAACTGTAAATATAATATTTTTGTTTGGTACGTAATTAGTTTAATATAAAATAAAAAAAAAAAACAAAAAACAAAAAATAATGTGGATTTATATTGTGAGTCCAGAGTTAAATACTCGTATTTTTTTTATTGTTGGATTGTTTGTAAGCTTTTACACAGACACGAAATGTTCGGTAATACATTTTACGGTTTATGTTATTGTTCAATGTTAGCACAATATTTTTTTTAAACGCACAATATTATGTTCCCAGTAAAACATGATATTATGTCTATCGCGTCGAGCGCGGTTTTATTCCGGTCCCGAAGGAATTTTAAGAAAAAAAAAAAATAGTTTAAGACGTACCAAGCTTTTGTTGATTGAACGCGGAAAACAGATTATTTTGTAAATTTCTTAAAACTTTACTGGAAGTTGCGAATAGCAAAACAAAAAACCAAATGTAAACGGGAAATGGAAATGCAAACAAGTGTTACAGTTTCAATTCGCATATTTACTCAGAACCGTTTGTTAAATGTAATCTTTTTTAATTATTTTTTTCAGTTTAATAGAATATAATTTTGAATAATGTACGGCTCTCGCCTTAGTGAACTACCCATAATAGTGTACCGTGTGCCTACACAAAAATCGAAAAGTGAAATCTATAAGTTACTTTTTATTTTTTTGAACTGAACGTGATTCTGACTATGATATAGTGTCTCGAATTATTTATACAACGTATAAATAAGAACAAATTTCAGTAATGGAAAAAATTTAATTTTAAACAAATATATTTGTTTTATGTCTCAAAGATAGGCGTGCGCACGGGAGGTGCTGCGTGTATCTGAGCACTTCTTAACAAGTCCCAGAGCAAAGAACCCGTATTTTAACTGATGTTATTGGAATAGATTGCAATGTATTTTAATATACATGGTAAAAATAAATCATTTTTCGAGATAAAAAAAAAAAATAAAACGTAAAATATTTTAAATTATGATTTTAACAGCTAGAAGATAATCATCTACCAAAGTACAAATAAAAAAATAAACATTTTAAATATCGTGAAAATAGATTTTAGATCCAAGGAGTGTTTTACCCTTTACTATTTGTTCGTGTATACGGGTCTTTCACGAGGAAGTATTAAGATCGTTTGAAATCATTAATTTTCCCTTTCACAAAATAAGAAATGGCCTTTAATGTCGATGTAGATTTAGTTATTAATGAATTATATAATTTAGGCAAGAGGTGCAGGTTATTGCAAATTTGTCATTTTTGTATTGAATGAAAAAAAACGAAGTGATGTTTATGTGTTGTGTGTTATTATAATTTATTAACTATACATTTCTTATTAAGGAAAATTAAGGAATAGACCTAAAAATATTGTAGGTACCTCCCAAAATTCGGGTCTGCGCACGCCTATAATCCTAACTAGTTATATATATATATATTATGTCTCAGGAACCATAAGGTCAATTTAATAGATTGTCCAATACTTGAATTATAGAGGTTTCGAGTATTCCTTGTTCAACCAAAAAGGCGTCAAACAAAAAACACAAAAAAACCCATCTCTTGGGCTAAATTTCCACAAATTACCAAATATTCAAGACGTAACGCATCCACTTCTTGAACGTTCAGTACTTCAATTTTCAAATCCCATATTTTTTTATCTCTGGGAAAAAATTATCCCCTTCTTATTTCCAATTTCAATTTGGTTATTCTTATTTTGACAGCATCAATATTATTCTCCCTATATTAATAAGTCACTTTTACTCTATTGTAGTCTACATTTGTTTTTATTTATCATTCAATTTATTACTCAGTTGTAGTTATTTGTATGATAAAAAGTTTTTAAAAAAAAAATAATAATAATAATAATAATAAATATTTACTTAAAAGAGCACTTAAAAAGTTTAGTTATGTTTTTTAAATATGATGGGCTTGGGTTCACAAATCAGGGTCGAAACAATTTTGTTTGTCTAATGTAACATTTATAGGTACGGAAATAATAATAGGGAACAAAAATCAGTATTAAAATATTAATTATGAAAATTAAAAAAAGTTAAACTTTATCTTGTAGTATTGATATTGTTGAGAAATTTATTGAATTTTGTAATATATAATATACAGTGTATTTCACACAAACGATCACACGACAAATTTCAACACGAAAAGGGATTTAATTTTGTTTGTAACATTTAAGTACCAAAATACATTTTTTGAGTAATTTTTCAAAATTTTAATTTTTAACCCAAGTACGCACAATAAAATTTACATTTTATTAAACGGAAGAATATATTTTTTTTCTTACAACTGTTTAAAATAAAAAATTTTTTTTCAAAATTGTACAAGGTTTAGTTAGTTTCTTCATTTTAAATATAATAACTTTCAAATTTTTTGAAAATTCGAGAAAAAATCATAACTTATAAACTTTATAAAATGACTGATACCTCCGTCGATTTGTAAGGCTGTATTATTAAAAAAAATAATATTTTTTAATCTGATGCTAATAATAATTTGTTTTCCTTTAAAGACATGTAAGTTTTATTGCATATATGTACATCTCAATGACTAACATTTTTAAAATTAGTTTAATATATGTATTTTGGTATTCCTGATTCCCTCTTCAAACAATTTATTTCAACTATAGTTCATATTCGCAATGTCGTTTTATATTGAATTATACATAATTAAATAAAACAACTTACTTTCTATTTATTTGAAAATGCATCATTTTTAGGGTTTTTAAATGTTAAACTAATTCATAGTTCTTTTTTCCTTTTTCCAATTTTTGTTAAATTATATTATTATTTTTCGCTATTCTATTTTATCTTTACACTCCCAAACAGAAATTTACTCTAAAACTAGTAAATTTTAAGTTAATATAGTGTTCTACTTCAAAATACAATACTAGATAATTAGTTTGTCTTAGTACATCTGTAAAGAAGTTACGATAGTTTGATTTAATAAGTTAACAACTTTTTTTAAAATGTAATTTTTAACAAAATGGTCTTAGATAATATTATTGTTCTCAGGTGATAATTGAACATTATCTTAGGAAATTATCTCGGGTTAAATTTATCGACCGGTGTCCTATCGCATAGGTAACGTCGGTTTAGGTATACTTATATATGTGTCAAGTAAAATAAATATGACAAATTATAACGATAATTAACGTTTTAGGGCGAATTAATTTTTCGGTTATTGCGCTGTAGGTTTAAATTTATTTCACAATTATTTAATTTACTATGGCAACATAATACACGGTATTTTAATTTTGTTAATGATATTGTACACGCGAGTATTAATTAACAGTATTATTAATACTAAGATAATAATTAAAAAACCGTAAACTGTGAACATATTCGTACGGAAATATTTGTATTTACGAATTCATTTATAAATTATAGTTAAAAACAAAACAGAAAAAAATGTGTCCTAGAATAATAGGGAAGGCCACTGTTATTGGTAATTTAATGTATACCTATAAGCAATTCATAAATCATTGCTTACGATAAAAAGATTCTTAGTGGAGTTAAGTTGATAGAGATGCTTTGTCAACTATATATATTATGGATGTCATATTATAGTAAAATAATTAAATAGGCATCATATATTTTCTTAAATAATATTTTTACGTTTTTCCGGTTCTCCGATGAGTTTTCCCAGGTTTCCCATTTGTTGAAAAAACTTCTCGAAAATCAAAAAATTACCTCCAAAAAGTATTTCTCCAGTTTGATATCCTTTTGGAAAAGGTGCTACACTTGAAAATCGGAGCAAAATTTCTGGTAGAAAGTTACGCACAGATAAAAAAAAATTATAATAAACATCTTTGTAAAACCATAAGCTTCTTTGCTCCATACAAAATTTAAAAAACTATATTCCCTCGTATATTTCTCGATTACTTGATAAGTGGTATACGTACATTTTAGGTAAGTATCTAATTAATAGTTAGGTAATAACTTTATGAATGAAAAGCTAAATGTTTAATATTTTAATGAAAACTTATTATTAAGTTTTTGTTTATTTAATCATATTATTATTTTAAAATTGTAATATAAGTTCCTAAAGATAAATTAAACTATTACATTAAAATATAATATATATATATATATATATATTGTTTTTTTTATTTAAGATTTTTACCGAGATTCAAAAAAAAAACAATCATTATTACTGAATGTATAATAATAATATATTTATGCAAGAATTATAGTTTCTTATTTTTTTTATTTTTCTTTATACGAAACATTTCAAGAAAGAAAAATGACTGTGGATACAGTAACGATTCGTGATAATATTAAAGTGAGAGGTGTCATATATTCCATTAACAAGGATGTCACTCAAACATAATCTGGAGTAATCAAAATTCCATGAACTAACCGTTTTCAATTTAGTATTCCAGAGTTTATTGGACTAGTTATTTATTTAGACTTTATCCTCAACGACCATACAAATTTAAAAATTAAAATAACTAAAGGTAGAAGAGTTTTCATTGCCAAGAGTCATTAGCCTGTTTAGGAGACTAGATCTCGCATAGTTAATGCTGTAATTAGGAAAATAAGAAGGAGTCATAGATCGTGTTGCATGTGATGGAACACAACAATTGCTCCCGGGGAGTAATAAAGGGAAATCAATATTACCGTTTATTAAGTTCCGTAAAAAGCGCAAACTAATGTGGACCCTACTTTTAAAGAGAAGACATAGACCTAGTAGTTCAGAAACAGAGGTATACTCATGAACGGGGCATTAAATATTAATGACAAATTTAGCAAAGTTTAAAAACTTGCGTTGTATCCTTTCCAGCTGATTGATCTCATAAGCGATACGGTTGGTCCCATAAAATTGATCCATACTCTAAAATAGAGTGAACTAAAGAACAATACAGAGTTTCAATACTTGAAGGTAAACGTAATTCAGTGGCAATTCGACTTGTGAAACCGGGAATTTTAAAGGCTTTATTATAAATTGAATTGTATGTAACCGCGGTGACGCGTTATGGCTGTAGTGAAAGCCTAAATCAACAATATTGTCACCAGTTGGTTGGACAGGCTCATTATTGATAAAATATTGAAAATGTATCGTAGATTTATTTCGGTAAAATAACATACAGCGGTATTTATCAATATTCCAAGAAAGTCAGAGATCAGTTGCCTATGAAACTAGTGATTTGAGATAATTTTGAAGAGAAATACAATAAGTTAAAGAGGAAATTGTAGAAAATAATAACATGTCATCCGCGCAAATAAAAATTTTGCTTTTATGAGAATGGTGATTAATACCGTTTACAAAGATAGCAAAAAGTAAAGGAGAGAGATACCTTCCTTGGGGAACATCCAAAGGCACATCACGCGAAATAGATTTAACACCATGTATTTTACTCAGCATTTTCTCAAGAACAGATACGAAAAAAAACAAGATAAAAGAGGTTTACCAAAACTGGAAAACTCCGAAACCTTTAAAAGGGAGGAATGGTTGATACGATCAAAGGCCTTAAAAAAATCCGTATAGATAACTTCTACTTAAAATCGATGGTTAAATGCTTTGTATATATCAACTCATCAGGACCAATAGAAAAATCACCCTATAATTTTGAGAGACGAAGTTCAATATCGTTTTCAGAGAAATAACAGTTACTTGGAAGGTCATAAGCTAAGCAGTATACAGAAGCAGAAGAAGAGATTATTAAAAGCTGAATTATTAGTATAAGCAGAAGCAAAGAAATCAGAGAATAGATTAGCAATTTCGATATTTTACAAAGCAAAGTCTGGAACACGGGATTTTGTTTTTATTATAATTATTATTATTATTAGTATATACATATACCTATATATTTAATGTAAAAAAAAAAAAAATTATAATTATCAAATATTATGTACATAATATTTCTTTTGTTTAATGTTCTGGCGACTTTTTTCCTTTTATTATTATATTTTCGATTATAATTTATAAATATTTATTATAACCAATAATCATAAATGCAACGCATATCCAACCAATACTCGTCATTAGTGTTTTTTTTTTTTTATATATACGTATATTGCACAATATTCCATTATAATAACTGTCCTATTCGGAGGCCTATTACCCTTCATGAATATTGCTTAGACTTGGACAGCAACAAATAATATATTTTTCTATACATTACATACTCATTGGTATAAATGACAAAAATAAATACTCGAAAACCATTCGAAAGAAAAGAACAAAAATATTTATTATAATCATTTAAGGAGGGGGGGGGGGGGGATGGAAACAAATCATAATAATTATAAACGTATTTAATACAAATTTAAAAATAACAGATTTTCAATATTGTAGTTGGAGGTTAAATTTGTATTGATTGAAGTTTTCTTGAAGTTCCTGGATGTTCTCTTTGTGGTATGAAATGGTTCAGACAGAAAGTGATTTGTTCCTTTTGATTTCATTTAATACTTTTTTTTTTATAATCATTGTTGTATGACATCCATTGTAAATAGATTTATTTTTTTTTAAATTTATTTTAAGAATATTATTCAAAATATTTGATCAATTTTTGCTGCATATAAACATCATATTTCAAACGTTAAAGCAGAATATAAATCCGTACTCTAATTATGATTATAATAATACACACACACACAAAAAAAAAAATATATATATATAAATAAAAAAAAAATTTAATAGGTGCATCAATTTCAAAGGACAATTCAACTGTACCACAAAAATATAAAAAAAATTAAAATAATACCGTGTACGCGAATATCCCCAAAAAGCATGGTAATAACTCACGTCACCGAAAATATTCCGATAAAAAAATTTATTTTTACAACAGAAAACAATATTATTATAAATAAATAAATAAGTATAAATAAAATTGAAATTGAACAGAAAATGAATGCTCGGGGATGTTTTTTTTTTTTTAATAAATATACATTAATTACAATAAGATATATTAGTCTTAATCAATATGAAATAATAGGTGTGTAAACATTTTAAATTCAACATTTTGGATCTCCCAGAATCTCCCAAAATCACACATTGAAAACAAACCAAAAATAATTTTCGGGGAAAATATTTCGCAAAATGTGAAAACTCACAAAACAAAAAGAAAAATTATTTTGGGGAAATCAATACCACCCAAAAATTAAAACGTATTAGATATCTTGAAGATATATACCTTAATTCCCGGAGATTAAAATCCAAAAACATAATCAATGTTTGGATAAAATATCTACCATGAGTGAAACACAAGAAACTTTCCTTACGTGGAAATATAAAATAATTTCAAAAAAAAAAACGTAATTCTTATGCGTGAAAAAAAGTACCCACAGTATCTACAGTAGGTAGACGAAAACAGATAAACACACACAAAAAACAATTATATTACCTTAATATCATGCTCTAAATTAAACAATCACAACTCTCTGTAAACAGAATGAAACGCGTAATTGTATATAATGTACATATACAAGTACACAAAAATTAAAACTGCGTAAAAAACATACAAGGAAAAACTGGTAAAAACATACATTAAAAAAAAAAAAAAAAAAAAATGTTTAAGGGCGTGGATAAACGAATTGCGTTGGGCACTTCTTTCGTATATCCTTTTTACAAGGATATCGCTCAAACATAAACTGGAGTAACCAAACGACCATTAACTAACCGGTTCACTTTGGTACTGCAGAGTTAATTAGATTACTTAATGGTTTATACTTTATCCTCAACGACCATAAATTAATCGACTACAGATCGGACTCAGAATAAAAGGGAAGGTATTGTGGCTACTCAACAACAAAACGATAGTGTACAGTATACATTAAAACGTATACGCCGCAAAATAAAAATAAACACTTAAGTCATTGAATAAACTATATTAAAACTAAAGAACGTAGTCCTGCGGCGTCACCGCATGTACTCTTTTCTTCATTCTCTTTCACTACACCATTTATACTCGTACAATATTAATAATTCACCATATTTCTTAAATACTACCTAGATACTATTTATTATTAAAATTTCTTAATGCTGGCGAACAGTATTAACTTTGCACAATGTGTCATTGGCACTCCGCATAATGAGTTTATTTAAAGTTTAAACTGACGATGTTTACAAAATGAAAGTCTTAAATGTGTAGTATACTTTTGTTTTGTATATATTTATAAGCTATTATCCGCACATGTATACGAGAGATGCGTTATCTAAATAAGGTGCCTCACCTTGGAACTATCATACCATAATTTTGACTATAAATCCATAAATAGTATCTAGTATCTTATCAGACATAATTTATGTGTGTTTATACTCCCACTTGAAATTAAAAGTATCGAAAAAACAGAGCAACAATACACCAATAGTGTTCTTGTCTTTTGATTTGATGATTGGCCAATCTATTCTTATAATGAATCCAGCAGCACAAAGTTATCGCTGCTCAATGTAAATTTGCTATGTCGTCCGTTTGTAAGACGCAGACAACATAATATAATACGGTTATACGGTCATCTTAAGTATACACAAATTACATACAAAGTTGACATTATATTTATAGTATTTTTTTTCTTTTTATCTAAAACAATATAATAATATTATTAATCAAATCGATATAAGGAAAAAAGTTCAATTAATATTTTTATTTTATTTTTAGACTTGTGACTGCATTGACCTCTGATAAAAAAGAAAAGTTTTTTTCCCTTATTCTGTCTTGTTTTTTTTTTTTTTTTTTATCTTCAAGTTCACAATTATAACAGAAAAGTGGTGTACTAAAATAACGTGCGTACACTATTAGCTAAAATATCCCTACTTTATAATATTATTAAAAACAGGTTTTTTTTCTTTTGCAGGTCCACTTGACATTTTCAGTAACACTATATATATTATATAGGTTTGGTATATATGTTATCAGATCAAAACATTTTCCCGAACATGCCCTACTTATTCCAGTTGTATATTACTTGGTCATTTTTATTTTATTTTTTTTTCTAGAAAATAGGTACCACGACTTCACCGACGACGTCAGTACCCCTATTAAAAAGGTTCGTATTTTTATACCCTGCGCCCATTTGTCCGTTGTCACCCGTGCCGTGGAGATCAAACGCTTTATCCTCAAGGGGAATAAAAAAAAACCTCCATCATTGCGTTAAATCATTTACTACGACTGTCGCACAGATTTAAAAACGATAACACTGTCAAAAATAAAGTATTGTATTATTTATATAGGCCTTATAAAAATTTAAAAATCAAAGTGGTTTTATTAAATAAGATTAGTTTTCATAAACGCCTATGCATTGTGTTCACGTTTCCAAGTACCATTAAATATTACGACCCAATGACCTTGTATGTGAATCTCTTTTTTGGATACTGAAGTACACACTTAACGATAAATTTAAAATGTGTAAACCTTTCAGTGACGACATGCGCAATATAATTATTATTTTTTTTTATGGTAATACCTATTGTTGATCCAAGATTCAAATAGTTTTTTTCAAACATTTTTTATTTAAAAAATTAACTGAAATACAGTCGTCTTGTGTAAATTTTAAAATGCAATTTTTTATCGTTGATTTCAGCAATTTAAAAACGTAAAATATTTTGTATTTGTTGTATTTTATTGATTTTATTTCAATATGTAATCTTCCTTCTTATACATCGA